AAAAAAAAACCAGCTTTAGTAGCATAAAATAAAAACCAACCATTGCAATAAAAACTCAGATTTAAATAAATTCAAATAATCTTTTGTTTAAAAAATAGATATATAGCAGTGAGGGCCTGTCCCCGCCCCATTATTCCCCTAAAAAAGAGGGAAAAAATGGATATAGAATAATGATGAAAAATTATGAACATCTAAAGGATAGAAACTTGACTGAAAATAGTAAAGATGGCAGAGATGGAGGCACCATCAACTGCTTTTGGCTAGTATCACAAGGCTTTAAAATACTAACAAACAATACAATAGAGTAATTTTGAAAATCAAGACATATGTAGACATATTGACGGCTCAGGAAAAAAAAATTATTTTAACAGAATGTGACACTCAATGTGGCTGTTAGTGGTATTGGATTCTATCACAATATGCATGTGTGTGTGTGTGTGTGTGTGTGTGTGTGTGTGTGTGTGTGTTAGGTGTTTCACTTATATTAATGCAAGTTAAACACAAAACGTCAAGCTCTAAGTTTTATGTGGGCCCAATTTCCATTAAGGAAATTAATCAGCATATAAGGTAATGTTCTGAGAACATGATTACAGAAAGAAAAGAAGTAACACTGTAAAATACTAAAGAGAATTTTATCTTAAGGGGAAAGCAAACTAATACTCAGAAGATAAACTAAGTCATGCTGAAGTTCTCAAAATTCAGTAATTGTAACAAACTGAACACCATTTAGCCCAATAATTACACTGAGACAACGGTCCACCAGCGAGAACCGGGGCTGACAAACTCTATAAAATGCCAGACAGTATCAATAAATATTTTTGGTTTTGTGGGCCATATGGTCTGTTTCATTTCTTCAACTCTGCTGTTGAAGTGCGAAAGTGGCAACAGACAATATGTAAACAAATGAGCATTGCTGTGTTCCAATAAAACTTTGTTATTTTCTTTCCAATATTTTAGATCTGTGGTTGGTTGAATCCACAGATGTGGACCCGATAAGCTGACTGTATTTCAACTCTTTATTTGTGAAGTGGTTATAGTACCTATTCTTTCCTTCTGATAAAAACACCACAGATAGAAAGTCGAACTCATGTGTGTCGCTTAGAGATAAGACAACAAAATCACAACTATCCAGAACCCTAGGAAGGAGAGCTTATGCTGGATAAATAAATGGGTGTTTACTTTTTAGACCTGATAGAACATTTCCAGTGCATTGTAACTTCTGAAGGATGGGTAGGTTTGAAAGTTAATGCGAAAAGTCTTAAGTACCTTAACTAGCCTTTAACTCGGTATAATTACAATTACACTTGAAAGTTTCTCTAAAAGCTCATAAAATAGAGCTGTGCAACAGTAATTCTTGTGCCCACGAAGTAAGGAGCAGGACTAAAGGCAGGGCAAAAGGAAAGCCTGTGTGCGTTTGCCCCACATTCTATCATTCCATTAGGACCGCAGCCCTTGGAGAGTGCCGACGGGTAGAACCCTGGTGCAGTCACAGCACGGAGTGGCAGACATCATTTTGCTTTAATACTAAAATGCTGTAATTGCTTCACACTTGTTAAAAGATGTGTTACTTCGCTGGACGTGGTGGCTCACGCCTGTAATCCCAGTGCTTTGGAGGCGAAGGCAGTAGGAT